CTTATCCTGCACTTGGCCTCAGCCCCAGGTGGCACAGCCTCTGCTCGACAAGTGGCCTCACCCAGTCCCCCCAGCAGACACCAGATCCAGCTTGGCAGACGGCACAGGCCGGCTGGCCAGACGCTGGACACCTAGGCCCGTCTCCACCCGAGCCAGGCGGCGGCGTGGGCAAGGGGGCCCAGGGCAGGACAGACAGGCGGTCCCCGTGAGGAAGGCGACAGCACAGCCGCTTCAGCCAGGACCCGCTTTCTCTCCAGACGGGCCAGCTTACCAGAGAAAAACAAACAGCCTTTGCGACTGCACCTGCTCCCGGGTATGCGTGGATCGCGGCTGCCTGCGCTGTGTCTGGTCAGGAAATAGCTGCATTTTTCCCCAGGAGCATGCGGTGAACACTAAGTTCTCAAAGCCGCCTCCAGGAAAGCCGAACCCAGTCAGGGACTCGTGTCCTCAGCGCCTCGCAGCCCCCAGGCCCCACAAGGGAGCCAAGGGGTCCCCTGCCCCCTCTCCTTCCCTGGGCCCCTAGGTGAGAGTCCGGACGTTCTCCAACATGCCCAGTTCGAGTTCACCCAGGAACACCCCTCGGTGACACAATCGTCCCTCTAGACCCAGGACCCCCGACCCTGTCGCTGCAGAGACTCCCAGAAGGGGTGGGCCGGCCAAGTCCAGCAGGGACCCCACCAACTCCAGGCTACCGCCCAACCATGCCAGAGCTTTAAGACAGTGTTCGCATGACAAAGACATCACCAACCCAACCACGTGTGCCTGCCACTGCAACCCTAGCCTCGACCTGTGAGGTAGTGATCACAGCCATTTTGCAGATAAGAAAATAGACCGGCCAGGCTCTGTGGCTCAGCCTGCAATCCCAACACTTTGGGAGGCCAAGGCGAGCGGAATGCCTGAGCCCGCGGGTTCGAGACCAGCCTGGGTAACTTGGTAAGACCTCATCTCTACAAAAGATAAAAAGAAAAAATTAGCTGGGCGTGGTAGTGCATGCCTATTGTTCCAGCTGCTTGGAAGGCTGAGGCAGAAGGATCGCCAGAGCCCAGCAGGTCAACACTGGGGTGGCCGTGAGGGTATCAAGGCACTCCAGCCTGGGTGACAGAGTGAGACTCCAACTCAAAAAAAAAAAAGAAAGAAAGAAAGAAAACAGACCACACAGACAAGGCAGGTAACTTGCCCGGGGTCACAGAGCTCTGAATCCCCATGCCAGCTGCAGCCCCTCAGCCCTACCCAGGGTCTCTGGGAAGAGACCCCGAGCCTGTCACTCAACCTGGCTCCCGACCGGGGTCAAAAAGGCCCTGCTAGGCAGAGATGGCCCCGGAGTCCCGCTCCCCAGTCCTTCAACTAGTGCCCCCACGGCCCTGACACCCAGACCTCTAGCGGCTGCAGCCAGTGGGGGAGGGGAACCCAGCCCAGCCTGGCCCAGAGGACAAAGACCCCGCCTCGGACCCCAGAGGTGACTCACCCATGGGTCCCACTCAGCAATGCGCTACCCAGGACATCCTGCCCACTGCACTCCAGGGTACACAGGGGCCCCTCCCAGGCACCAAGTGAGCCCGTGGCTTCCAGAAGCTTCAGGCCCAGCAAAGCCAGGCCTCGGCCAGCCACCCAAACACCCTTGGCGCACCGTGGGGCCAGTGCTGGGCTGGAGACGGGGGTGGGGGTACTAGGCAAGTCCCACTGACCCGCTGGTTCCCTCAGGACAGGCAGCAGGCTCAGAGCGGGCTCCAGCAGGACGGGGCCTGAGCCAGCGGTGACCCGGCCGGGTCAGGCCGCAAAGCTCTGCCCTTACTCCGGACTGGGGCTTCTGGGCCCGGCTCCGTCCAGGCTGAACCCTGCAGCCCCTGGACCTAGGACAGCCTGTCCTGTCGTCCCTGTCCAGGCCCACTCCCTTTCTTACTCAGAGCTTGGGTCTGGAGGACGGTCTGGCACCTGGGACCAGACCCCAGGGGCAGACCCAAAAGCCAAGCCCCGAGAAAGATCTCAAAGCTGGGGACACGTGCCCACCTCTCCCTCACACTGAGGCTGAGGGTCAGTCCTGTCCTGGTGACTCCCACGGGGCCTGTACCGGGTGGGAGCTGGCATGAGGCCTCTCCTTCAGCTCCCCAGAGATAGGAGAGCCTAGCCTTGGGGCGTGACCTCAGACACCCCCCACCTTTGTCGGGCGTTGGCCTGGGGACTGTGGCTGGGACGTCTGCATCCGCGACACGAGAACAGCCTCACGCTGCCCGAGAGGAAGTGGTCTCAGGGGCCGGCCACGGACGCCAGCATCTCCAGACACCCAGGGTCTAGGCAGCCTTCAGCCACCGCACCCTGCCATCGCACCCTGAGTGTTGAAGGGAAAAGCATAAAAGCTGGCACGGGGAGACACCATGCCCAGACCAAGTGGACTGGCTGCGGGGTGTCCCTAAGCCAGCAACGCCCCGCTGACCCCGCCACCCTGTGCGCACGCACGGGCCCTGAGTCTGGGGTTCCAGGACCCATCGCCTTGTCTCCAGGTCCACATCTGCCTCCGTTCCAAAGGCAGTGGGATCAGCCTCCCAGCCCAGCCTCCACAATGGGCCTCCTGTCCCCACTGACCTTTGGTCCCCTCTGCCAGAGCCCCGGGGTCTGGGCCGGATGTTTCCCTGCAATGGCTAGGCAGGGAGAAGAGGCCTTCCGAAACAGGGGAGGGGGGGCTGGGTCTGAGGACACCACCCTGCGACCTCAGGACGCCCCGCTCCCTCTCAGGTGCCCAGGACCCTGTCCAGGCAGAAGAGGCCCACGGGGCAGGGAAGAGGCCACTCCCAGAAGGGGCCCGTGGCCCCCACCCGCCTACCGCCCTGGCCATTTGCTGAAGGCCTCTGGACCCCCAGCCTTCTCGGGGTCTAGGGAGGGAGCAGCCTGCCCGCCAGGGCCAGACACTCCGCCTTCCTCCTCCCATGGGAGGGGAGATGGGCAGGGTGGTGAGTGAGTCGCCACCCCACACCGCACCCCTACCTCCAGGGTACACATCTCGGCCTCTGAAGGGCAGACCTCAGCACTCAGAACTGGCACGTGGGATCTCTAGAGCGCTGCCCCCCAGCACCCAAGAGAATGAGGCCACAGGTCCCCTGGACTCCTGGGGCGCCTGACGGTCCACCCACACCGCCAGGGGGGACACCAAGGCCCAGGGACAGGCAGAGGCTGGGTCCGGGAAGGAGACACGGGCAGATGTGGGCTCGCACCTGGGGGACCTTGGTCATTTGAACCTGGTCACCATCTGAGGCCCACCCCCTCCACCCACCCCCCGAGGCCAGGAGAGCTCCCAGACAGGCAGCCCCAGGCCCTGGGACACCACCTTGGGCTTCCTAAGGGAGTGCTTGGCCTCGGCGATCCCGGCACTAGTGTGGAATTTGCTTATTACTCCATGCCCAGGGCACCTCCGAGGACCAAGTTCCCAAGTCAAGGTAAGTCCAAGCTATGGGTCTAAAGGGCCCGGTCGAGTGACAGACAGCCTGGCGGGCCACCCAGCCCTCCACGAAGAAAACTCTCACCAGCATCTCGGCCCGGGGCCCGGAGCCCCAGGTGGGTGGGAGATTCAAAGTCACTTTTCTCTAGAGTCAAAGAACAGAAGCTCCATCGGGGCAGAAAGGCAGTTCCACGTGGAAGGTGCGTCGGGCCTCTCACCACGGCCGCCTGGACCAGGGGCCACACCCACCTGGACCCACTGTGCCAACCCACCAGGGTCCCTGGCCACGGGGACCCCGACTGTGCTTTAACCCCACAGATGCCAGGTTCCAGGGAGAGAAGAAGTCCCAGGAGAGCCCACCCCCCTACATGGAAGCCCAGAGAGGGCCCAGCGCCGTCAGGGCTCACCAAGGCCAGGAGACGCTTCAGACACCTCCTCCAAACCTCTCCTGAAACTGGGAGACAAGCGCCCCGACGGAGACCAAGCCCGGGGGACAGGAAAACCTCCCTCCGACAGGACAGCAGCAACCCTGGCCCTGAGAGTCTGTCCCTGCCTCACACAAGAGGGGCGGGAGGCCCGAGCAGCAAACCCAGGTCCAGACGGCCCTCAGGTCAAAAGCCACCCCAAGTCGGCTGCCAGAGGCACCTGGAGTAGAACTGTCCCCGGGGACTGAGCGGGGAGCGCAAGGGGCCTCCCGGCAACACGCCATTTGAGCACGGTTGTCCTGGGCCCCCAGTGCTGCCCCTGGAGGTCTGTCGCCTCGGCTACCTGGGTTCTGCCCCACAAGGGAGAGGGCAAGCGACTCCCACCCGAGAGAGTGGGCAGCAGGATGGCTACCCAAGCCACGGGGCCCCATGGTCCCTGGGCACGCTTCCCCAGAGTGGGGGCCGGGAAGGGGCTCAGAGGGGCCCAAGTGACCCAGGAAGGTCCAGAAGCCCGTCTGGGGCCATCGCCCCACACCCCCCATAGCGCAGGGCACGGCTGGGGTCCAGTCCTGTCCCCTGAGAGTCACACACTGAAACCCTTGAGTTTGAGGAGGTGGTTAGGAGGCGGGGCCCTGGGCAGGAGACGGGGTCCTAAAAGTGGCTTCCTCATGTACAGGATGAGGACCCTTGTAAACGAGGGCTGGGGGCTTGTCTGTCCCCTCCCCACATGAGGACCCAGGAAACGGAGGCTCTGCCGGTGGCATGACCTTGGACTTCTAGCTCTAGAAGTCCGAGAAACGAATTCCCGTTCTCACGAGCTGCCTGTCTGGGGTGCTCTGCTGCAGCCGCCCCACCGGACCAAGACGGGACCCAACCCCTCTCACAGAAGACCGACTGGCCCGGGCCTCAGAGGGGCCCTGGGAGAAGGAGACACATCTAGCCCTGGCCAGGCCCTTGCTCTCTGTCTCCCGTGTGGCTCCAAGGGAGCAGCCTGGGACCCCCGAAGACCAGGGACCCCAGGTGACCCTGGCTCTGAAGGGACCTCCTCCCGCCATGCACCAGGCCCTGCAAAGAGCCTACAGGGAGTTCCCCAGAGCCCGGGGACACCAGGCAGCTTCCGGGGAAGCAGCCCAACACCTCACGAGATCCAAAGGTGGGTCAAAAGCCACCCGGGCCAGGAGAACTGTCTCCATGTCCCCCAGAGTCATGTCGCAGGGAGGTGTGCAGTGTGAGGACAGGAGGCGAGGCCCATCCCCAGAGCAGGCCCTGGGCCTTCTCCTCCCCGGGCCGCGGTCCACCTGTCAGGGAGAGGGGCACAGCACCGCGCACCACGCCACTGGCCCGCCGCGAGTCCGTCATGGACGCGAGGGGACCGCGGCTGGCAGGGGGAGTGAGGGGCGGCCGCGGGGCCGGGGCTCACCTTGACGCTGCGGTGGTGCACGCGCGCAGGCTGGCACTTGACGCTGCTGGTGTTGCAGCAGCCAGTGCAGCGCTTCACCTCCACGCATGGGGGCCAGATCAGGAAGTTGGCGGACGTGGGGTCAACCTGGCTCCGAGGAATCTCGTAGATGACCGTCCGGGTCTTGCAGAGCGCGGGCACAGCCTCCTCTGCAGAGGCAGGAGTTTGAGGAGAAGAGCCCGGGCAGGGTGTGTCCACACACGGCCCGCACCCCGTGGCACTCCCCCTGTGGCCCCTGCTCTGTCCAGGGCCGCGCTGGCCTGGCAGGAACCCCTCATGGGGCTGCTTCAGCCTGCTAGGACTCTCTCCTGATGAGTGTGGCCACTCTGGCTGAAGGACGCAGAGCCTGGCGCCAGTTGGGGAGGGGACACCCAGGACCCAAGGACCCTCCCAGAACCCTGCAGTGGGGCAGGGAGCGGACTTCGGATCAGCCCTTGGACACTCCTCCCTGCGCCTAGACTTAGCAGTAGACTCTGCAGACTTTCTGGAATGTCTCGTCCTCTGAGGCAGGTCTGAGGGTGTGACACTTGTGATCAATACAGCACGTGTCACCTGAGGGGCCTGCCACATGAACCAGGACTCCCCAGCCTCCAAGGTGGATGGGAGAAACTCCACCTTCACAGGGGGGAATGTACCGGCCCAGGGTCACACAGCATTGAGCGGCAGCCCGGGCTGGCACCCCACAGCTCTACGAAGCAGGTAGGATCCCCAGGGGTAAGGGGACAGACAGGTCACCCCCCCACCTGCCCCTGGGCAAAAGAATCCAGACCAGGCCCTGGGGAGCCCCTCACCAGCTAATTCCTCCTCTCGGGCACAGAGTGGCACAGGGTGCTCTCTGAGGATGACGAGAACTAAAATGTCCGGCAAACTGATGCCCGGGGAGTCCCGGAGCCCTGAGAGTGTGAGGGGGCCACAGGGGGCTGGCGTCCAGAACAGCCAGAGGACACAGGCCCTGCCACGGGAGCCCGCAGGGCTGCGCGCCGGCAGCTGGAAGTGAGGCAGACCACATTTCGATCAAGGCTCCTCAGGACGGGCCCCGACAAGACCGGGCACTGAAGGAATTCGTGACGCCGCTTCTCTCTTGGAAACTCTCTTGGCCCAGGCTCGGCGAGGGCTGGGGGAGCCACCCACGGGAGACCTCGAGAGGCCCAGCCAGAAGCTTTGTCTTACGGAGGAGGGAAGAGCGGGGGCCTAGGCCACAGTCAGGGAGCTGGATGCCCCCCGCCATCCCTCCTGCAGCCCTGTCGCCCACGCACATCGGCCTGCAGCTGCCCGTGAGACTCACCAATGCTTCTCTTCCTTCGGATGGGCGCAGGCCGCCTCTCAGACGCATGCTTGGTGGCGTGGACCGTGTGGGCTCTCAGGCTGGTCTCCAAAGCATCCTCAGCCCCTGTAGGCACAGAGAACATGGTGACCGCTGCCCAGACTGTCCAGCATGCCCTGGGGCTGCCCAGAGCTTTCTCTACAGACCCACTCTCAGAGCCACTGGGGGACAGAGCTGAGTGGCCCATTCCCCCAGGACAGGCAGGGTCCCCAAGACCCTCCGTCTCACCCAGGTTTTTCTGACGTGCAGTGGATTAAACACTCGAAACTGCCAAAAGTGTCCTGTCCACACGGAGGTCCTCCACAAGCAGTGTCCCTGCTGGGACCCAGGACAAAGCTGAGGACCCCCTGGAGAAGGGGCTACGGGCGTCTCCCCTATGGCTCTCCACCAGGGAAGTCTAAATGAAGGCTGAGCTGTGTCGGGAGGCCCTGGGGCCTCCACCCCAGAACCGGCAGGCCTGCTGCCTCCCACCCGGTCATCTCCTAGAGGGCACGGGGCCACCCAGAGGGAGACTTTGTTGGGCACCAGGGCACAAGCAGGGGCCGCTGAGACTCCAGGGGTGCATGCATCCCCATTTCCGCCCTCCTGCTCGACCAGTCCTGAGGACACGTCCTAACCTTGGAAGGCATCAGGGCAGCCTGGGCTGCGAGCAGCCAGACCCCACCTGCTCCTGAAATGAGTTGACTGAGGGCCAGAGGCCAGGAAAAAAGAAATCGAGGGTCATGGCCTCCCAGAGAGACACACACAGCGCACCCAGCGCCTGCAGGGAGGGCGGTGGGAGTGACCTGCGAGTCTGTGAGTGGCCCAGACCCAAGACCACAGCTGGTCCCAGATAAGCCCCGGGGCCCTGGCCCCAGTCACACACCACCCACTTAACAGGAAGATGCCACGGTGAGCAGCCCTCTCTCCCCTGGCACCCCAGACAGGCTCGGGGGATCTGGAATCGCGGGTTCCCGGGGCAGGGGGAAGACACAGGCCTGCCATCTGCGGTGGGGAGCAGCTCAGCCCCCAAGACCACACCCGGCCTCCCTCCTCACCCCTCCTTTCCGGTAGGGGGGTCTCTTCCCATCTCCTTCCACCCTGCCTCCCCGACATGTACCCAGGGCTGACGAGTGGGAGACAGGGTGCCCAGCCAGACCCCTCCAGACATGCCCACGTCTCCCCGATTCCTCCTGGGAAGCCCATGGGATGTCCGGGCCACCAGCCCGGGTCAGGACCCCCTCCTGGGTGCAGGACAGTCGGCCAAGGCCCCTTTCTGCCCAGGCCTGAGGCATCAGTGACTGTCCACAGACAAACTGGAGAAAGCCCAGCCTGCCCACTCCCCCTGACGAGCCCCGAACCTGCACGTTCAGCACGAAACCCGAAAACCTCATGTGAGGTGTGAATGGCAAAGATGGAGTCTGAGCAGAGCCCAACTTCTCAGTGAGAATGACTCAATGTTCCAGTGCCACTAATTTTTTTGAGACCCAAAATAAGATCAGAACTACTCATGCAATAAGAATTTCCCATCAACCAACTGTTACAAGAAGCATTTTTTCACGAAAAAGTGACACTCATGAGTCACGCCCTGGTGGGAGCCATCTTGCCATCGCCAACCCAGAGCCACCGGTCCATGCTCAGCGCCTGGGCGGAAACTCAGCAGCAGCCCCAGGGAGCACCTTCCAGGGCCTCGAGGGGCAGCCAGCTGCTTCTGTACCGACTGCAGGTGACCGTCTCCAGGCACACGCAGCAGGTGCCGTCACCTGGTCACATCTGAGGGGACTGAGGCCCAGGGAAACCCAACAAGACCAGGACGGGCAGCTGGCAGGAGCCCCCAGGGCCCATGGCCAGGGCGTCCCACCCCCATGCCGCCCTCCTGGGCTTGACAGAGAGGTCGGCGGCCCCTCCGGAGTCTGAGTCGGTGGATTTCTTTGGAGACAAGAGATAGAAGGCAAACCAGCCCAGCCTCCACCCCCATCACGACTGGCGGTCACAGACCAAGAGCCGGCCCGGCCAGCAGGCACAACGGCTGTGCTGACGCTGCGGGTGAGAGTCACTCACCCTGGCCGTTCACGAGGCGAGACCCTGTGAGGCTCAGGCCCACCCCTGGCCCGCGTGGATCTCTCCTTAAGGCCATCAAGAGAGGCCTTCCCTGCCGTCTTCCACGGACAGCTGTCCGAACAACCGCCCGTGGACGGGAGAATCCTGGCCTGGGCGCCCATGGCCCGAGATGGGGTTATTTATGGATCCGTCACTCAGCGGCCCATGGGCACCTGGCCAGATTGCTTGGAGAGCAGCTCCCCTGCCGCCGTTTCACACAGGACAAATGGGCCCAGACGTGGCTGCTGGCCATTAGGAGATCGCTTGCCAATTTCTGGGTCCAAAAGACACAGGTGAAAAACCAGCAACTCCCTTACCCTCCCTCACAGGCTGCAGGGTGCCTAGGCTCGGTGAAAGCCTACAGGAAGCGCCTCCACCTCACACCCCGCTGCCAAAGCCTGGGAGAGTGCCGAACTCAGTCTCCTCATCTGTAAAATGGGGATGCAGCCGGCCAGCACGGGGGAGAGCCTTGTGCCAGTCACGGGGAAGAGCCATGTGCCAACCAATCCCAAAACTGTGCCCACTCCAGGGAGGGCCCGGCACAACAGGGAGCACCTGGGGTGCCCCGAGGCCTCTCTTGCACTTTCTTCCGACACCAAGCGCCTCGCCTCACCGGACTCTAAAAGGCGGAGAGGCGAACGCGCAAGGAGAGGCAGTGAGAAGGCGCGCCTCCAGGCACCTGGCTCCTCCTCACTGACCTTGCGAGGTCGCGGGCTCCCAACAGGCCAGATGGACCTCAGGGCCTAGAGGGGAGTCCAGGGCCCAAGGACCGCCACCTTCAGAGAACAGACCACCGTGGACGACCTGCTCCACGGGGGTGGGAGGACAGCAGTGGGAGGAAAGACCCCCAGCAGAGGGAGGAGGGCTGGGCCAGGACGAAGGAGGACCACTCTGGGGTTTGCGCCACAAAGGGACCCCAGGGGCAGAGCTGGAGAGCACAGAAAGAGGCAGAGACCCCCCTCCCCCGCAGCCAAGCCTTTGTTTCCGCTGGGCCCAGGGAGGGTTCCACTCGGACCCCAAGAACGGCGGACAGGTAGACAAGCTGCCACCCACCCTCTGCGTCCCCTGGGGCAGGAGGGCCAGGCGCTCCCGCCTGGGACATTGTGGCAGGGGCAACCTGCAAGCAGCCTGGCCGGCGTGTCCCTGTTTTTTCTGTTTGGACCCTCCGAGGGAGGCCGGCCCAGAGCCCCGGGCCAGGAATGCCATCAGCATAGCCCCGCAGAGCTGCAAATGCTGCAGGCGCAAAGGGTGGGCCTGGAGGCGGGGCTGACAGGCGGCATAAGAATGGGCCCAGCGGAGAGCCAATGGCCCATTTCCCCGGGCGGCCGAGCCGGTCCGCCTCGGGCCTCCCCACCGCAGGACTGGAAAAAGAGCCCTGGAACCTTCTCCGGGAGGCAGTCGCCCACTTTTCCAAAGCCGACAAGGACGGGAGAGACACAGGCAGTGTGTTCCCCAAGCCAAATCCTTCCCTGGAGTTACACATCAAGGGCCCAGATCGAAATCCCCCACCTCCCGCCCAACTCTGATCTCCAAGTGAAATCCTACCCCGTCCAGATAAGATCAGCCAGAGGATTTCCTGGGTCAAGAAACTACAGAAACCGTCGGCCTCGTTAGAAAATGGTTTTGGCACGGAATGAGAACAGCTCAGGCCTCTCCACCACCATAATTAGGTACAAATTTCCAAATGACTAGACCATGTGATTTTACTTAATTCCCCCACCACCCCCCTTCTCGGAGTAGCTTGCAGGGAGAGAAAACTCTTGGTTCCACTGAAAATTCTCCCAACTCTGCTACCTTTAGCCACCCTTTTTAACGAACTCATCTCAGGCCTTTAGGCCAGCCAGCAGGAAGTTTTCCCACCGGAGTATTCCCTAGCCGAAGCTGGTGCTAGAGTTCCCGGGGCAAATGCTAATTTTGAAAAGGGCGCCACTGAGACGTGGGAAGAGACCTGTCTTCGGGAAAGGGGCTGTTCGCCCCGCGCCGGCGCCCACCCGCCTCGATCCCCCTTCAGCCCTCGCGTCCAGGCCACCTCAGCAACTGCCGCTGGCCTCCAAACCCGGCGCTCGCAAACTCGGTTTTCGAAAGTGGCTCTGCTCCAGGGCCCGAGGGAGCCCCCAAACAGACCCCAAGCAGCAGGCGCGTCCAGGGAGCCCTGGCTATTGCGTGGCAACGGGAAAGACGCGGGTCTCCTGCAGCCACCAAGACCGAGCCCTGCGGCAGGACCGCGGCGGCGGCTCGCGGCCACGACAAAGGGGCTGCCAGTGGCGATAGTCGTGTCTTACCGGGTTGGACTCAGACGATAGTTACCG